GTGAGAGAATGCATCTTCGTTGAGTTGTAAGCCCTCGGTATCTCGACGAACATAGTCGGTTTGATCGGGCTCCCACAGCCATGGTGACTTTTTGAAGGCAGCGTGACGCCGGGCACTATCCTTGTAAGCCCTGTTCGCCGACTTGGTGGCTGTGTTGACTGAAGAATGAGGGCTTGTTCCGTGAGAGGAGTCGAATGGCGGCACCGGGAAGCCCTCAAAGTTCAGATCCCACGATGTGAAATCCACGTCCGGGAAGAAATTGTGCACGCCATTGAAGTAGATCAGCTCGTTTGGGATTCCGTCCATCATGGACTGGTGAAGCATGACATCGTTTTGGTTGGTGATGGCAACACCGGCGTGAGAGGCGGATTTCGAAGCAGAGTGAGACTCGTGAGCGAACTCATAACTGTTTGGCATTGCATACGAGCCTGACCGCATATCAGGAGTGGCCCCGGTGGCGTCTTTGAAAGATGGTGATGGTGTCGGGTTGACTTTTGATCCGCCAGCTGAAGTTAGCATGGAGCGTAGCAGTATCTATATCAAAAGGAGAGCAATTACCAATTGATGGTTGTCTATCCTGCAACGTCCTCTTGGGCGTCGTCTCACAAGGCAGCCCCTTATTCCTGCAACGCGAACAGGGCTTTTGATCGTCACACTTGGCTTTGGATGCAGCGCAGTTCAAACAAGCTTCAGCTGCGCGGTCGCGCAGGCGGATGATAACCCGGCCCTTGCCATTGGTATCTCTGTCATGTGTGGTCTCATGACGTGTGAGCAAATCGCTAAGGGAACAACTTTGTCAGCCAACATGTCTGGCGATATACGGCGGCACGGTGGGGGAGGGGGAGGGGGAGAGGAGGAGAGGTGCAGCCCAAAAAACAATGAAACATCCCAAGTAGCAAAAACTTACGCTCGATTGAATCTCTTTTGACAGCGTGAGCATTGGTACTGCCTCGCGTTTTCATGGGACCTCATATGGCGGGTGAGGTGGTCGGCGCGCTCGTAAACCTTCTTGCACAGATGGCAAACATGTTGATTAGAGCCAGCAGCACCGCTAATAACAGTCTCGCTGCTGACGCTATTGCCGTTGACAGAGCCACCAGCGACCGACGATGAGGTCGCGTCTGTCTTTGCTCTTTTCACCCGCGCTTGTTCCTCGGCGTGAAGTGGCTGCTGACCACCCTCCGGTCTTGGTCCTCGGGAGAATAAAGAGGACAGCAGCAGATCCGAACCGGCGGCATCGCACAAGATGTCAATTCCATTCTGCTCCGTCATGGTTGCCAGCGGCAGCGGCGCCGCGTTGTGGAGATTGTCCGTTCTTGGGGCCGATGGAGTTGTTGCTGCTCCAGTTCAGCGGCCGGGAGCTAGGCTAAGGGGGTCCCCGACCTCTCCAAAAGTTGACAGTTTGACAGCTTTGACATACGGGGTTTCATGGGGCAAGCATCACCATCCGGAGGCAGGCAGGTACTGTTCCCTACACTGACCTAGGTAGGTAACCCCCAGAAGGAGGGGAGATCCAGTGGGTTGCGGAAAGAGGCAAGGGAAGATCGGACATGTGGGGCCGGTGTCGATCCAGCCCTCCAGCGACCCAAACTTGCTGTAATTCAGGGCGTATCGGAGGACCGATTTGATGCTCGGCCCCCATCCCGTGGGTATGGTTCCAGCTTCGGTTTTGAAACCTTTATACTGCGTAATTATCTCTCCTCCTATTTCAATTTCAACTTTGCATGAAACTCGTTCAAGCCACTGTGTAGTGTTTGACGCCTCCATTATGCTTTGTCTATTTCGGTATCAACACGCGGCCTGAGAAGAAGTCCTCCATCACCAGTTCAACATTCGAAACACTGAAACTGACAGCAGTACGGAGTAAATACCTACTAATAATATCCACATCGGAGCATTTCACGGCAGTCCTCTTCGGGATACCCAACGTAGGTACCATAGCTCAGCAAATGTGACGCGCAAAACAGATCTATCCAAGGACAGTAATCAAAGCGATCTTCGCCTCTGCGCAGGAATTACTCTTAAAAGTCAGAGAATTTTTGTGGGTTGCGGTTTTATGTGGCATGTCGTGGTAATTTCATGTTATTAGCCTGAGCGGGTGTATATTACTTTGATCGTTGCGTCACTTGCGTGGTGTTTACGAATCTGGTCAACGGAAGCTCGGAAAGGGGGGGCGGGGGGGGGGGAGGGACATTAAGAGGAAGAGGGCCGATATCTTCCCAACCACCTACCGCCTACCGTATCGACATGAGTCGTGTGTTGTAGATGAGATGATGGTATGATATATCGTCTTTTGTCATGGATATTCGTAAGCCTTGTTGAAAGGTGACTCACGGCACGTGTGTTTAAAACTTGTTCATGTTATTTATTCATTATCGAGAGCCGTCTGCGAGCATGTCCCGGCGCCGGCATCGCCCACAATGACTAAGCTCTCAAACAGGGAACCATTAAACTGGATATTCTTCCCCGTTTGGGCTTATGGCTTGAGAGAGAGAAAGCGAAAAGTAAGAATGCCATAGAGATCCCCCGTTGTCCGTCCCACTTCCCACTTCCGACGATGAATCCTGACCTCCATGTTCAAGGATCCCTTCCCAAACCTGCCTCGCTTGATGCCACGCAGAAGCTGCCGAGTGGCGTTTCGAACGTTCGAAATATGCTGTCCCAGGTTGCACAAGCAACGATGCTTACATGCCCTGGATTCTTCTTCTTCTTATTTTGGGGTATTGGAAAAAAACAAACGAAAGGAAAGGCTCGGATCAGGGGGGGTAGAGATATATATCCCGAGCCTGGTCCGTGTAGTCAAGGTATATTATTATATGCTTCGGGATATAATTATGCTTGTGTTTACTCTCTTCTCCAGCTCCCATCGGCTAGTGTTCTCGCAACATCCCAGAGCCGCGAGGATTTTGCGTCCCCCCACATTTTATAGAGAAAGTAAGTGGCTGGTTACCAATATGAGTTTCGGGACAGACGTGGTGCGACTGCAACTCTTGGGAACGGACTGTCTTCCCATCCTTGTCGTATCTCGGACTTTACTGTACGCCCAGAAGAAATTCCCAAGTAGGAAGAGAGAGGCCAAAGAAAAAGAAGCTTGAACGGGATCACAAAGGTTGTATTAACGCCCAAAGCAGAAGTTTTATTTGATCATCATATAAGACATATATGTCGTATCACTGCTTTGTCGAAATCCGGAAACACCATCCCGTAACCGTCCCCCCCTTTCCGCGCCACGAAACATGGTCTCAACGTGGTGTCAAGACGCGGGCGAGACATTGGGAATAGAAAGAAAACTCTGGAACCATTAGTCCAGTCCCGAGATGTAACAATAACCCAGAAAGTAAGAAGAGACATCCTGTTGTAACTTGAATTTTTTGTCAAATATTTCTTTCTCCTATTTCTTGCTCCCGTGGTTTCCGCCATCGTTGTCGTTCTTGTTCCTCGAGGCCGGACCACCTTCTTTCTCCCTCTGCTCGTTCACATCTGGCTCGCTATGTCGTTTCGGTGGCCACTCCCCTTTGTATGGCCCTTCGTCTTTGGGGTAGTATCCAGCTTCCTAGATCACGAGAGACACGAGGTCAAGTTTTAGGAGGGGCTCGGATATATAGGTAGATGAGTAGGTTGATAGGTGACGTACGATACACTTCTTGCAGGTATGCCCAGCTGCCCAGACCACTTCGGGGCAGACATGTGTGATATAGTTCCGACAGCGGTAGACAATGGTCCTGTTGTTGTTCGACATTGGAAAACCTCTTGCCTTTCGTGGAGCTGCTGCTCGAGTGTGAGTTGAGACTATCAGATGAGAAGACTTGTTTGTACATGACGATGAAGTCCAAGTCCGTCAATGTTTCCGGAGTTAGTGAAGGGGGGGCGGGTATTTATACTTTACAAGACATGCAAAAAGTAGACAACGCAGACAGACAGGCTAGGGCATCCACGCTCTCTTACTGTATGGCAAGGCACGAATAGCATGGTACCAATATTGGACCTCCCTGTTCGACATGTCTTTCTGGGTTCGGTGTACGGCTAGGGGGGCGTTGACGAATGGGCGGCGTGGTGTTCGACACTCGACAAAAGAGTCAAGGAGACAGACAGGCCCCCAAAGACCCGGCTTGTCAGACAGGATAGAAGCCAAAGAGAATGGCCCAAGGAAGACACCTTTCGTCAAGCAACGAGGCACCTAGGTAAACCATCCAATCACCACCGTCAGCAGATGAGGAGCTGCCGCAGCCGGTCGCATAATTATGTAGCTCCGTGTGGACATGTCTCAACACACCCACACCTGAGTTCTGACATCTCGACAAAGACTCAACACGGTGTGACCGTTCAGCAACCCAGGGTGGAGGGGCCTTCCCTGCCCGTGAAGCTGCGAGACTGCCAGTTAGGCAAACACTATCTGTCCCCTGTCCCGTTTCTATCACCAGGCCAGGCTCTTGGAGTTGCCGTTCTTCCGAGATGGTTCGCCTTCTTCGTATCACCGTTGCTTTTGGCTTCAACACTCTCAGGGTGATAGGAATGTGAGGGACTTTGGCCGTCTTTCACCTTGCTGTTGCATATGGTGAGCTGTCTGTAGCCAATAACGACCCCAGTCCTTCGACCCTCCATCCCCGGCCCGATCGTTATTCGCCAATCTAGATCTATCCTGTCCAATACAATGCCGGGGAGGGTTGGGGAAGCTCAGATCCGAACCCCGTCCTCCCCGTCAGGCAATCTTGGGATGTGTCCTTCGATGCAGTTCCTCAGGGCCGATTTCTCCATCGGGGAAGGAGGCCTTCAAAGAGTGAGAAGGCGAGTTAAAGGTGAGCTCTGAGGTTGGACTGAACCATTGCGACAAGTGCTGAGAACACAGGCCGATCACGACAACAAGAATCGAGGCGAACAAAGTGAGCGAAAAAGACGAAAGATTAAAAAGATTCTCCAGTCCATCTACAATCTTTAAACTACAGCACATCAAAAGCTGACCCAATTAAAAAAAGCGAAAAAGCGACAAAAAAAAAGGGGGGCGCCCAGTATGGGAATCGAACCCATCCAACTCAGTCACCCATGGCTGCTACCGTGACCGACATGCTACCACTACACCAACTAGACTGGAATTACTGGCCGGTAATTCAACGTTGCGGAAAAGCCTGATTGGGTTGCCTATATAGCAAGATTGGATGGTTGCCTGTGCTCGATAAAGAATGGCGACAACTTGGGATGGAATCCCAACCCTCCCCCACCAACGACTCGAGGACTGACTTCCATCTGAACCTGGATCCCAACCCAACACCTCCGCCGTGGTCCTATCCTACCTTACAAGTAAGAAAGCGAGCAATCTGCCCTTGGGAAAGGCCAACAATGGTTGGGCAAGACCCAATGTCGATGAGAAATGACTGACAAGAAAGTGATAACCATAAACGGTCAACCAAAGACAAGTAAATATTGGTATATAAAGAAAAAACAAACGCTCGCTTCCCTTGATCCCAGTTGCAACCAAGAAGGCAAGGTATATGCTTAGTCCATCCATCCAGATAACGCCCCGCTTGCCAACGGAATATGCAAGAATGTGAACTGAGATATCTAAACAAACAAGATAAGAAGCGAAAAGAAAAAAGGTATCCAAAAATCCAAACCAAAAATACGCATGGAGCCGTCTGGCATCCTCACCTTGACACCTTGTCAACCCGAATAAACAACTGGCCTTTGGTCAGCTGGCGAGTGACGGGATGATACAACTCGACCCATCTGTATCCCTGCTGCAGCCTATCCAAGCGGATACAGGCCCAGCAACTGAGATCATCACGAAAGTTGGAAGCGGTGCTAGTATCCTCAACCTTGAACCTATATCAGGACTTAGCAATCGGCTTGGGCATATCATATACTCATTGGGAGACTCACCTCACGAAGCTGAGCTGTTCCATAACGTTGGTGATATTGAAGAACTCAAACGACACACCCGACTTGCCCCAATCGGGGTTGTTCCCCACTCTCGGAGGTGTCTCGTGCTCGTAATCGACCGACTTGTGCTGCTTTTCGACGTGCAACTCGACCTTCACATGCGGGCGGAAGCCCTTCTCGGGCCCAAAAAAGCCACTGTCCTTGCTGCTCTCCTCTGGCAGAGGGAGATATTGAGCGGCCATGATTGTGATCCTGAGGTTGAGTGTTCGTTTCGGCGTGGTCTCGTAGTCGGTGGTGTCGGCCGTAAGGTAGCCGCATGGCTTGAGAACCCAGCCATTGGTATCGGCAAACATGGCGTCGTTCAGCATCATGCCCTCGTCAGTCTTCTGCCAGTTCATGGCCACCATCTGCACGCCTCGGCGCCAGTGAAACGAAGGGTCCGGGTTGCTGCTATCGACTCGGATACCCTTTGGATATATGCGCATAAAGAAGTTTCGATTGTGGTGAAAGATTTGGTTGCATATCTCCTTCTTGGCCTGCACCATGCTAGTGAACCGATCTTCACTCAGGCTGAATATGTGGCTCGGGCTGCGTGTCGAGAGTGAATCCCGGTCTTCGAAATGCTCGCTATGGGTGTAAATAGCTAGCTTGGCCAACTTCTCGCAGATTGGTGGTTTGGAGTTCACCGCTAGAGTCCGTCCCCGGTCTACCGTCTCAGGTCTGTCCGGGTCGACTGTGCTGTCATCCAGGCGTTTCACCTTGATCAGGATTTTGCGCTGCAGTTCTTCGAGCAGAGGCTGCCGTTTATGGGGGTCGACGTGGTCGAACGGCTTGTCTAGGAGAAGATCCCCCCACTCTTCCTTCATTATATCTACCATGAGCTCCTGTTGCTCACGATCTGCACCGACTTCGAGACTGACGATAAGAGGTAGAGGGTTCGTCTCGAATGCGCTCTCGGCAATGGCACGACATACTTCCCTGAACGGAACAGTGGTAGTCATGGTATTGTGGTGATGGACAATGGGCTCAACTCTAGTCTGCGAGTTGGACGAGTCACTAGAGTCTCCGGGGTGATCTGTGGATTTCCGTTCAGACTCTACAGCCGTCAAGTGCTCGGCTGGCAGCCGGGGGGACAGTGTCAGTTGGCCAGTACTTGCAGCGCGGCTGTGGCGGCTCGCCCGGTCGGCTATCGTTTGTTTTATGCTTCCGAGTGTTTCGACAATGGACGCAGACGAGATAGCGCGGCGATGCTCCGGCATTGGAGATCTGGAGGGCGTACGGGATGGAGAGCCGTTCCATACGTCGATCTCGATACAACGACAACCATTCCTCAGAACTTTTCGATATGCCTCGGCCGAACTCTTGCCCGAGAGCTGGTTGCCTTCTAGGTACGTGTTATGGCTGCTGCTGATGAAATAATTGCTGATGGGGTGTGACAAATCGTTCTCGTTGGCACGAAGCTTCCGTACAGCCCGCCACGCCGTGTCGTTCTTGCTCCACAAGTAGTGAAACTCCTGGATGGTGTATTTTTCCAGCCGGAGTGGTTCAGGAGCAGCAATTCCCTGCATGATCGTCAAGAAGGCGTGAAACTTCTCTCGTGAGAGAGTCTTTTCGTCACCGCGGAGGGTATCATATACGCGTTCGATCTGCTGTCTCAGTGGCTCACTACACGCGGTCCAGTGTTTATTTGCGCTCGTGATGCCGAAGCCGGACCCGAGGAGGAATGGGGCCAGAAGTGCTGACTGCGGTTCCGAGGGCGTGCCCCATCGAAACGTCGTTTTCCTCCGGAAGAAGTTGGCCTTTTTCTTTTCCTTCTTCTCTTCCCGCGGCCCGATCTGTCCCGTTCCACAAGTTAGATAAGTCCAGTCCAAGGCCTTGGGAATTTCTTGGGTGCTTCTCTTACTTTGAATAGACTAACCTTGAGGCACATCATTTGGAGAGGACTGCCGATTGAGGCAGCTTCCACCTCGGCTAGAGTTACACAGTATTTTTCAAGGGTGTAAGAGGAGCGGCTCAAAGCCTGGTGCTCGGCAAGGTGAAGGTCGCCCTATCTCCACATTGGAGCGTGTTTGTGTTGAGACGCGACGATGACAGCGAGGGACAGAACAGCCGAGTAGATAAACTTCAAGAACTGGTGTTTGTAAGGGTAGGAGGAAAAAGAAAAGAGGAATTGGAGAGAAAATGCGTCTCGTGTGGGCAGGCTGTCAGCAATAAGTTCGTTCTCCCCGTCCGCAGTTTCTCCAAATCCATGCTCCCTTCAAGGTGGTTCAGCTCTTCGGGAGCCTTGCCCATATGCGGGGCAAGCTGCTATCCAATCGTTCATCGTGCGGGTGCCATTGGTGGCTTCCAGGGATGCTGCTTCCAACTCCTCGACCGAAATGTGGCCCAGCGACGCGGGTCCAGGCACGTTGTAGCGGGCGAGTGGCGCCCGTCAGCGGAGTGGTTCCCCAGTGAGACGTTGTGACAGGGAGGCCCCGGCACCACCAAGCTGCGGCTGCTGTGGGGCCTCTCCATACAGGTAGCATTTTAGCGATCCTCGAGAGATTTCGAGCATCATCATCAAATTGCCAATCCAGCGTTCCACAGAGCTAAAATTCTTATTTTAGTTGCCTGGCGAGAGAGGGCGACTATCAACTTTCAGAGAAACCGAACTACGTGTAAGGGCAATTGCCAGGGTTAACCATCACAATGGTCCTGTCATGAACAAGAGCACGATAACGGTGCTCTCGGTCAAGAGGACGATTGGTCATCACAGACAGAGGTTGGAAAGCCCCCATTTGCCTCTACTGGATAGAATCTCGCCCCCGAGCCCGCCGTCGATAAAGTCTGGGTGCGGCTTCGTCAATCAGCGATATCGAGGTTTCAACTTGTCAACAAGTCACCCACAGCCTAAACGGTCAGAATCGACTGCGCCAACAATGAGATAATGAAAGATGGCTGTGCCTCTTTTTACATATCGGCCTGATCTTGATCATCCATTGGAACTTGGAGATGGTGGTCTTGTAACCAGGTCGGGTTTGACCGCCGGCCAGTCTTGATTAGGGAAAGACTCATATGCAGCCTTACAACCTATCCAGATTCCAGAACCCAGGCCGTCTCCTGGCTTGATTGAGATCAGGAACTGGTACACCGGACGAACATCAAACATCATTTATTTCCGATCTCCAGAGCTCACCACCTGAACGGAGTTTATCCTCTTGCTATTCCCCGATGCTTCAGGTTCTTCATACTCCTCCGTATTGAGCAAGAGGATCTCATCCTGAAAAGTCAGGGCAAGCAGAAAAGAATGACCGACCCCAAATCTGCGAATTCCCCAATCACCCCATCACGTCACATCACCACTTGTTGGCCGCCAAGCTGCCCGCACAGCCTCACTGCCTTTTGAGGCAGAGCACTTGGCAATACCACAGAAACACTGCACTGCACTGCACTTTCAATCCAGCAATTTTGGCTGGATGAGGAAAAGCGGTCACGAGAAATACCCAGCGAGTTGGGGTCTCTACTTGTGTAACTTATGATGCCAACTGCTGGTAGGAAGGATGGGAATGTTCAAGTTCGCTGAGGAACGCTGGAAAATCCAGCGGGCGGCCGCTGACGACCAACAACTGACGGGCTACCGACTAAAACAGCCGGATTTCGGTATCAAGATTATTTCACCACAAGCTATCCGTAGATTCATAACACAATGATTGCGCAGTCCCCCTGTTCTAGTGCAGTATTCGGTATCTATAAAAATCAGAAAGGTATCACTGTAGGTCGGTGTGAGAGCGCTGATCTGTCTCACGGTCTGACTCCTCCTCTCGGGAACGGCCCGGAACGGCCACCGACGGCCACGGCGGAGACCGGGCAAACCTTTGGGCAGAATCGTTTTCTTTAGTCATCACCCGACGCTTTAATTTTCTTGATTCTCTCGAACAGGCAAACAGGAAGTTAATTACATCCCTCTTTTGATACTGAAGAGTCATGATGTCCCCGCCACCAGCGGTTGACTCGGTGATCTATTTTGTCGCTCGCCGCATTTGTAATCATGACCACGAGAAGCATGGAAATAACAAACTCAAGATAGTAGTATGTATGAGGAAATATCTCGCGCGGAAAGTAGTTATGACTTCATCCACTGACTATCCGTAACACCTCATCATAATAATTATTATCAATACATGGTGAGATACGAAAGTGTGAAATTATCGACGACTGATGGGATAAGAACC